CAGGAACGCATCAGTAGCTAATTAACCAGTACTTACTGGGGAACATGCTGCCAAGCCTTATTAGAGTCTACTGGTTAGTTGCCTTGTAAATGAAGAGGAACTAATCAAGAATTAATTGGTAGTTAACCAGTAGGTTTACAAAATAGAAAATCCAATAAAACCAGTAATAACCAGGAAACAGGTTTTTGTCAATTACGAGCTGTGACCTCACTGGTGCAGGGTTTATTCAGAACCCACATGGAAAATTTCTCCTCTGTTTCTGTGGTAACAAACCAGTAGTCCCGTAATAATACTTTGTGTGTTCCCCAGTAAGTACTGGTTAACTACCCATTAGCTCCTGATTAGTTCCACTTTAGTTTCCTTGGTTACTACCCATTAGTTCTTGATTACTTCTTCTTCATTTACAAGGTAACTAACCAGCAGTCCCCTAATAAGGCTTGGCTGTGTTCCCCAGTAAGTACTGGTTAATTACCCATTTGCTCCTGATTTGTTCATGACGTATTCCCTAGTAGTTAATGAAATTTTGTGTACCTTTATTGTAAAGTGTTACCATTTTGTGCTTTGAAAAATATGCAACAAGCTGCATTTATTATTGTTTTGCTCTTGGTTTCCATTAACTTTAAACATTTGTATTGTCTTTTTATTGTAATGGTTGTGACGACCCAATGAGCAACATTTGACATGACAGATTACAGATTAGATTAAAAGCAGAGCTTGCTGTAAAAGTTTTCATGAGGCTACTTTTTGAAATGTCCAGTCAGCATACTGTATCCCAGAACTACAAAAACGTATTTTAGCCATGTCAACAAGTAACGTTGATACTGCTTGCTTAGACTTCTGTGTCCACTTTAGTTCTGGATACTGGACCTGATGAAACACTTGCTTTGTCTGCCTATGTTTTATATCTTGTTTCTTGCTTTCTCTTTTTTGCTCTCCACTGCACCTCATTCCCTCTGCTGTACTGGCACTGAGTCTGGGAGGCCTCTGGAGAGGGGGGAAAGCATGGGGGAAAGTTGGAACAACACATTGTAGGTAAATAAATGCTCTTTCTGAAAAAGAATGCCTTCTCAAAACATGCTCAAGCCTCCTCGGAGAAGCAAGTAACCCTAAATAATGCTCTAATTACTTGTCTGATAATATGATAATAATGCCTCAGTCTCTGGAGTCACTGGGTTCACTGAACAAACAAGGACCAGCCATCTGAGGCTGAGCGAATATCATCTGGGGCCTTGGAGAGGCACATGCACTTATTGTGTGTCTACATGTGGTAGAGAAAAAGGAGAGACACTTTTATTGTACAGTTCTCCTTTCAGTTCATCTTTTCCACAATGAAATGTATTTTTTGTTGCTGTTTAGTCTCGAGGCCTATGCTGATTAAAGTAATGCTGCAAAACAGGTGTGCTTCAGGAATTCACATAACACCTGAATCCAGCAACCAGGATCTTCATAATCTGATCAGAAGCTTTGCACTTATTGTTGATACCAGAAGATATGATGAGGTAAGGGGACGATTCATTTAAAAAAAAAAAAAGGGACTTTGTGGAAACACAGTGAACAGGTAATATCTTACCTGTTGTGTATAGCTCGTTAACAATCTTCAGTTAGAAAAAACTGATTTTATTCAATTCAAAAATACTTTATTAATCCCAAAGGGAAATTACATGTTGTTGTAACTCCTTATCCTCGTTTCATTAAGCGATGTTATAGATGCTGATGGTTGTAGACAGGAAGGATCTCTTGTAAAGGTCCGTCCCACAACGGATCTGAAGAAAATGGCCACAGATCCCGTCTGATCCGTCCACCCAGACTCGGCTGGGCTCTGGTTCTCCCAGGCTGCAGGACCACCCGAATGCCGAGCAGAACTCCTCCCAGAGCGATGGCCACTCCTCCTCCCAGCAGTCTGCCAAGCTCCTCGTCTCTGCGGACAGCCCGCTGCAGGTGCTGAGGGATGATCCCAATCCTTCTCTTGTCACGAGTCGTGTTTCCTGCCAGTTCCAGGATCTCAGTGTTCAGGTACTTGAGCACAGCCTGCAGGGAGACGGGAATGCATCCACGGAGCCTCCTTTTCAACTCATTTGAGATTTAGGGCTGTAGTTGAGATATTATTTGAGCTTTTGAGATGTTAATCAGCAGCTCCCAGTTGTTAAAAACCACATTGTTGTCATGATTACGCATCATAACAAATGTCCAAAAGTAAAAAAAAGTTTCAGCAAAAATCATTCCAGCTGCACAGCATCTGATATCAGATTCAGTCATCATCCAAAAAAGATAATTTATATTCAGAAAACTGGAAATAAAGGTTCCGAAAGCAATATGTCAGAATGAAAATAAGAGAGCTACTCCAACATGCAGCCACCTCGAGAGGCGCAATTCTACAATCTTGACCAGATGAATGTTTTTAGGGCTCGTCTAAGTGGGTCCAAGACAAACGTAAATAACAACTTCAAAACTCAAACTTAGTTTATTGTCGTTTGCATTTTTGTGTATTTTGTCAAACATACAATGAAGCCATTAATTTTTCTTCAAATTGGTGATGTGAACCCTAAAATCAATTATGCAAAAATAAATAGGAAAATAAAGGACAGAGCTACACTGAAATTTTTTTCTGCTGTGTTGCTTCTATTATTCCAACACAGTTTTTAAAATTGCTTTTTAAAAATGCTTTCTATGTTTGTTTGTTTTTTTAAATGTTGGTTTTGGTGAATTCACGTATACTCAATAACAAAGTGCTTTTCCAAATTAATGCTTCATCATTAGAACATTTCACTCAGCCCACTAATAAGTTTTTTTTTTTTGCCTAGATACCAAAAATAAATAAATAAATAAAATACTACTGCTCTTTTTCTTTTCATTTATTATATATCAGTTTCATCGTATCCTAATCCGAAAGCCATCAAACTTTGAGTTCTGAATTCACTGATAATAAGAGAAAATTTGTAAACTAGAAAGTTCCTGGAGAAACTTTGATGGGGACTGCCAATTTAAAGTTTTGATTTGACAGTACTATACTATGTGTTGAGGTTCACTGTCAGCTACCATTATACCAAATTTTAGCTCAATATGGCAAAAAAAAAAAAAAAAAAAAAAAAAAATATATATATATATATATATATATATATATATATATATCAATGAGTTATAGTCAGCTTTGTGTTTGTTGTGGTAGCTGTGACAGCCATCTTGAATAAAAATGGCTCCAAACCTTAATCAATTTTAGAGATACATGTGATTACTTTCTGGGCGTTGCAAATAAATCTAGCATGGGGGTACATGTTGCGGTTCAGGCTACATTAAAATTGACGCAAGAGTAAGCTATAAAGTTAAGAAACCCTTGTTAGGTGGATAATAATAGGTGCTTGCCATATAAGGCAGTCCCCAAAAAATAACATTTTCTGCTGTTTTTGGAATATTAGCTAAGCTAAGAATTTCTGGTGGCAATTTATAATACAGTCTGGTACATATAGTACACACCTGGTACCTGATACTTTTACACCTCTGCACACATTTTGGTTAGTTTGTTGCTGTTTTCTCAGCCAAACAAGCCTGAGAAACAATAAAAAAAATGAGCCTGCTTTGACAAACTTGGACCCTTTTCTTTGACTGATAAGACAGCTGATTAAGTATTAGCTTGATAAGATTCACAACATCACTTTAATAATGACCAGCATGTCCTTTTAGTCTTGGCCTGGTTCAGAACAGCTATTAGCTTAACATTCAGGTCAGAGTTAAACTCTGTTTCTCCAAACTGAGGTCATTCAAAAAGTTGTCTCCAACAGGTAAGATATCAACTATTCACTTCAAATGACCTAATCTATTCCTTAAAGCTCAGACGTAATGTGATTGATGATGATGTACAAATTCTGAATAATTCCAATAAAATTCTAAGAAAACTGAGTCTCCATTGAACCTATGTTTTTCTTCAACAGGCATTTCTGAGCAATTTTACCCAAAGCATTGGTTTCAGTCTGAGAAATAGAACTATCCAACCAGTTTATTATGATTTATGCTCCAATTTTACATCTCTGAATAAAGAGTGCAGCTGAAATAGGAGTGAAACGGAGGAGAAAATTCATGCCTTGCACCCCTCTTGAGTGATATATCCTCACATCCACCACAAATCCAGCACCTGAAAAGTTCATCACTTCTAAGGAGGGGTTCTTGGGAAGGCACCAGCTTTGTCTGCAACAAGGAGAGGAGGAGGGAAAGTCTTCCTGCGTCACGTTCCTTTAATTTGTTCAACAGCTGCCAATGAAAACGATGAAGTTTTCTCTCTCTCTTTCTCTCTTGGCTTCGTGTCCCCTCTGGCAAAGTGCAGAGCTGAAGCCACTTTGAACAAGTGTAATTTTTACTGTACGCTGAATGGGGGCAAAGAAAACTCAGATTTAATCCTGGCTTTCATCCCAATCCTGATTAGTAAGCAGTGGAGCATGGGAGAGGTGCAAATTGAGCCAGCTTGGCTTTTAAGAACTGTTTAATCCTCTTTAATATGATCAACACAAAGCTTTTAATATGCTATAATGTCATGAATAAGACAAATATTTTATTTTGCACAAACAAAAAAAAGAGCAATATGGTCATTCCAAGGTGATTCCAAAGCTGATGTCTTGGTGAAATGGGGTTTAGTTTGGAGGATCAGACGTGAACCCAAATGATGTTGCGTCTCAGGTGACAGACAAGGAGGGGCTGCGCGTCCATACCTCCGAGGAGAGCGCACTTCCTGCACTGTCCACAGCATATATAAACCCGCAAAAACGGACTCTTCCTGAAACAGTTTGCAAAGCGCAGGAACTGCCTCAGCCTTTTCTCTCCCTCTGTTGCAGCACAGACGCTTTGGATGAGATAAAAGCAGAAGGCGTCACTGCGCAGTAAAAGGTAAGATCTGGATTTAAATGAAGGCACTCGTCTGTTTAGTTCGGGTTATTTCATTCAAAACCTCGTGGTTTATTTTCAGAAGCATCTTGGAATCGGGACATTCTTCCTCCAGCGTGTGAAAACCAAACATGAAACTTCAGTTATTTGCCATAGGCTTAATATTCCCGTGCATATCTTGCGGAGCAAGTGCGCTGGCAACGCGTATCCCCGCTGCGTCCTCGCCAGGTGCCAATGTCACCAGCCGCGCAGCGCGCATCGATGGCAGAGACGCGTCAACTCTTCCCAAAAGCAGGAGGAAGCGTTACATCAGTCAGAACGACATGGTCGCCATCCTTGATTACCACAACAAAGTCAGAGGCAGAGTGTTCCCCCCAGCATCTAATATGGAGTACATGGTGAGTGAAGTTCTCATGGCGCAAAATCCCTTTTACGCACAAATATGTCTCCTTCAGAATTTAAGGCAATAATCTGCCTCAGGATGCAATGGAAAGTTTAAATCAGACATGTGGCTTTCAAATACATTTTATTGTATTTTTTGACTGAACATACATTCCAAAGGACAAAAGCTCATAAATAATCCCTTTAACCCACTGCTAGGAGAGAAAACAGAGGACATCAGTTGTCATGTCAGTAAAGTGTGGTTGTCTCAAAGCAAACTTGATTTAGTCTGAGACATTTCCATTTGACAATTTCCCTGAATTCTCAATATAACATTCCCAGTTAAGATCCATTATGAAAAATGAGTGTGGAACTGCCAAACTGAATCGCCTTTTGTGGACAAATAATCTCAATCTGAATTTGAGATACTGAAATGAATATAATTTAACCCTCTTATAATGAAAGAGGGACATGAAAGGGTTAATGGGACTTAATGGATGACTTTTGCAACTTTGTTCTCAACCTGCACCAGCACCATAAACTCCTGCTGCTGCGGAACTGTTTTGTTCTTCTGACATTAATCATGTGATGGATTTCCTTTCCTCCACCTGTGTGATTATAGGTGTGGGACGAAACGCTGGCGAAGACGGCGGAGGACTGGGCTCACGCCTGCCAGTGGGAGCACGGACCACCGCACCTCCTCAGGTTCCTGGGCCAAAACCTCTCAGTCAGAACAGGACGGTGAGTGGGCCTTTGACTCCTCTTGCCAACATCTGCTGCTCCTCTAAGAGATGTCTCTCTCACAGCAGCGATGGCCATTTCCTCGTAGCCCTGGGTTTTGTTTCCTCCTAAAACTTTCTACGTTGTGACCCAGTGACTGCTAAAGGAATGCTCCTGTGACCCATTTAGATAAACAACAGTAGTACTTTCAGCCGTGACCCATGAGGACAAAGGCCCTATCCCTTTAGTGGGTCTTGACTTTCCATTTGGACACACAGAGCCCCTCCATGTGTTCCCAAACTTTAAGATTTTATTGAGGAGCAACATGAGGCCCGCGGGAATATAATTTATTCTGACAGCTACTGTGCAGCAGCTATTTTCTAAAAAGACTTCTTGTGGTGCTTTGGAATGCCAACATGTTCTTTTGTTTTATCTTTTCTGCCTATTCCAATTGGAAGACTCAGGCTGTTCTTTGGCACTGATTTATATATTAAAAAGATAAATAAAGATATTGGACTCATTTGGAGCCAATAATGGACGAAGCTCCGATGACTGTGGCTGCTGCAGATTGTTTGAACACTTCAGTAACTGGGATTAAAAGGATAATCTGGTCATTTTTCAGCTGATCAGCACTACTTGTCCATCCAAAGGTTCACTCGTTTACAGTCACGGCCTCTGTATAAATGCAATCAGTTCTCAGCACACATATGTGCGCAACATGTTGAGAATAAAGCAACAAATTAAGCAAACTGATCATAAATATTAGGTAATTCAGTTTTCTTGCACTTCAATAAACTTGTAAAATGATGCAAAATAGGCCCTCATTTAGCTAACCATTAGCAGCCTGGAGGAATATTTCTCTTTTAACCTATAATGATGTCACAGCTGATAAAACTATGACATAATTTATCTTTAAAACATTGCAGACAATTCCTTTATGTGACCAGATTTAGGTAGTTTTAATATTCAGGGCTACAGAAACCAAAGCAAAAAGGCAAGAATCGGTTACTGTAGCTACAGTGTTCTAATCCTTGCATTCATTTTTCCTGTTTCTTGAGTATATTTTACATTTTTATCTATATTCCACTATGACAGAACATCTATTTTGTTAAGAGCTCAATATCCAGTGTGAATTAGGCATGAAGTTTGGCTCTTTATTCGATTAGCTTTGTCTTTTTAACAGTTGTGATCACTGAATTTGTTTCGTTCACAGTTATCGGTCCATTCTTCAACTGGTGAAGCCCTGGTATGACGAGGTGAAAGATTACTCGTTCCCCTACCCCCGCGACTGCAACCCTCGATGTCCTCTCAGGTGTTACGGACCCATGTGTACCCACTACACACAGGTAGGTTGGTAGTTTTCAGTCCCTTTACTCTCTGCTGGCTGCTGAAAGGTGAAAGTCTGATAATGTAATTGCTCGTGTGTTTATTTGTCATTCGTTTGAGCAAATATATCTCATTAACCAATAGACACATTTATTAAAAAATATTCGTTTGACGCGCCTAACTGCTAATCTTTCTGGGATTTTTTTGCAGATGGTGTGGGCAACATCTAACAAGGTTGGCTGCGCCATACACACATGCCACAATATGAATGTTTGGGGGTCGGTGTGGAAAAGGGCTACGTATTTAGTCTGCAACTATTCCCCTAAGTGAGTACTTTTGACAGTGAACCGTGTGGCGCAAGTTTCCTAACCTGATGCGGTGCTAATTGTTTGCTGTGAGCTTGCTAACATGACGGCGGTTACAATGACGACAGGCTTAATCCCATCTCAGCTTTTTCTGTTCAGTGTTGAGTTATAAAAGGCCACCCATGCCGATAAAGAGCTTAAGGGAAACCTGTGAACTGGTGCTGCATTACAGAAGAAAAAAAAAATCTCAAAGTAAGAGTCTAAACTAGGTCAAACTTGTGACTTACTTGTGACCCGGTTTTTTTTAACTCCCCGAGTTTAAAACATGCTGCATGTAAGGGTAACAAGCTCACGAGCTATTCAGCTGTGGTCTTGAGAGACAGTGTGGTGAGTTTGGACCCAATCCCACTTTCCGCTCTGCAGAGGTCACTGTGGTCACTGTGGAGATTAAAAGGCAAGGTCCGTGCATGAAACCAGTTGGCTCGAAAATGGTAAATCAGTGTGGTGTCAAGACAAATATTCAGTGCATCTAATGGCTTCTTTATGCTTAAAAATCTCTAAAACCCTAAGTTTTTATTGTTTTTTTCTTCACAAAGCAATCTCACCTAAAGGTCCAGGGCAGCCTGGTTTAAACGTTTCACAGGACCCAGTATACAGGTTGTTGTAAAGGAATTCTGGGTAAATTCTTTCTCTTAACAAAGATGGTGCAATATTACGAAAAGTTATAAAATGGGCCTTGAAATAACTAATAAAGGTGATGATTACAATGATTAAAATGATTATATTAGTTCTTCTACCATCACTTTCCCCCATCACAGTATGGAGTGGGTAATTAGAAACACCTTCCGTCCACTCATCCATACGTCTTGTGAACAAGATAACTTGAAAATAAGTGACGTACCAACTTCCATTTTGATGTGTGGTTGCATCTAGACATGAGCAGATCCCTACCAAAAATTGCATTGCTGCGTCAAAATCCAAGATGGCCACCACCATCTTGTTTACATATGTATACATGCCTCTCTGATCATTTGAAGTAATTATTAATAACCTTTATTTAACCAGGCAAATTATACTTTCTAGATTTTATATTACTTAAAAGTATAGTTTCCTCAAATGTTTGGGGTGGCCAGTGGGTGGCTGAAGATTAATCTATAGGGGCCAAGCCCACCATTGACCACCCCCTGGCTCCACCATTGCACTTGGTGGTGGATAAGATTGCACGTTCTGTTCGCCAGAATCCATCACTCTGTGCTGCCTTGGACAAGCAAAAGAAAACCTTATACACAGTGCACATCTTACCCACTTGACTATCTTACTCCAAAAACATTAAGTTGTACAGTAATTGCATTCCCTGTCCAATTCTAATCCAGAAAGACACTCATCTGGAAAACTACAAACACTCACTATTCAATTCAATTCAAAAGTACTTTATAAATTGAAAAGGGAAATTATTTGTTGTTGTAACTTGTTATCCTCATTTCATTAAGAGATGTTATAGATACTGATGGCTGTAGACAGGAAGGATCTCTTGTAAAGGTCCATCCCACAGTGGATCCTAAGAAACTGGCTGCAGATGCCGTCTGATCCGTCCACTCAGACTCGGCTGGCCTCTCAGTTCCACCGGGCTGTAAGACCGCCTGAATGCTGGGCAGAACGCCTCCCAGAGCGATGGCCATTCCTCCCAGCAGTCTGCCGAGCTCCTTGTCACTGCAGACAGCCAACTGTAGGTACTGAGGGACAATCCTGTCCTTCCGCTGTCATGAGCCATGTTTCCTGATACTTCCAGGATCTCAGTGGTCAGGCACTCGAGCACAGCTGGCAGGTAGATGAGAATGCATCCACAAAACATCCTTTTCAACCCATTTGAGATTTGGGGCTATAGTTGAGATATTATTTGAGCTTTTGACATGTTAATCAGCTGATGTTGGTTGTAGAAAACTGCCTTGTTGCCATGGTTACGCATCATAACAAATGTCCAAAACTAAAAAAGTTTCAGTAAAAATCCTTCCAGCTGCACAGCATCCGATACCAGAGGAAACGATCATCCAAAAAATGTGATTTACATCCAGAAAAAGAGGAATTAAAGTTTCCAAAAGCAAAATCTCAGAATGAAAGTAACAGAGCTGCTCCAACATGCAGCCACCGTGAGCGGCGCAATTCTAGAACTAACCATTCAGCGACAGGGGACATCAGCTTGTTCATTAAGGAATTCTTGTGATTTCTTTTGAAGTCTTGACTAGAGATCTCCAGCCTTCTGAACTTTCAATTTATTTATTATTATTTTTTACTTTGACTTCTGTTTCATTTACCTACAGCCCAACTATTAGATCTTTTTTTCAGTCATTCAACATTTAATTTTATTTAATTTAACCTGTATTTATCCAGGTTAGTCTCACTGAGTTATGAGGACTCATTTTAACGAGAGACCTGTTTTAGACAGACAACATATTAAAGTACAGACAACAATAAAACTCAGTTGAAATAAAAAGAGCGTTATATAAACACTGTTACTGTTAGCAGCAAGGTCCCGCTAGTGGCATGATCCCATTAGCAACATGGCCCTGTTAGTGGCACGGTCCTGTTAGCAGCATGGTCCTGTTAGTGGCACGGTCCTGTTAGCAGCATGGTCCTGTTAGCAGCATGGTCCTGTTAGTGGCGTGGTCTTGTTAGCAGCATGGACCTGTTATCAGCATAGTCTTGTTTGCTGCTTGGTCCTGTTTGCAGCATGGTTCTGTTAGCAGTGTGATCATGTTAGCAGCGTGATCTTGTTAGCTACATGGTCCTGTTAGTAGCATGGTCCTGTTAGCAGTGTGATCTTGTTAGCAGTGTGGACCTGTTTGCTGCGTGGACCTGTTAGCAGCATGTTTCTGTTAGCAGCATGGTCCTGTTAGCAGTGTGATCCTGTTAGCAGTGTGGTCTTGTTTGCTACATGGTCCTGTTAGCAGTGTGGTCTTGTTAGCAGCATGGACCTGTTAGCAGCGTGGTTTTGTTTGCAGTGTGGTCCTGTTTAGCGGTATGGTTCTGTTAGCAGTGTGGTCTTGTTATCTACATGGTCCTGTTAGCAGCCTGGTCCTATTAGGAACATGGTTTTGTTAGCAGAGTGGTTCTGTTAGTTAGTTCTGTTAGTGTGGGTCTGTCAGCAGCATGGTAACAGAAACAGTAAGTTCTGTTGGTTACAGTTAAATTTCATGATTGAAATTACATGCTGTACTTGAATGCCAGTGACTGGTTTGCCTGCTGGGTCCTCTTCAGACAGAAATCGGTGTGAATTTACTCATGGATTCTTATAATTCATACAAACAGAAAGCATTTAATCTAATGTGCTAAGTTAGTTTATTAATTTATTCAGTACATAAATAAATTAAGAATGACTCAAGATTCTTCCTCAGTATAAACCCTCAGATTCAAGTTCATGTAGTAGCAGTTCTGTCATTACCACAGTACTCTTTCAAAGTAAATGTTTCTCTGTGTTTTTTTTTTTACAGGGGGAACTGGATCGGAGAGGCTCCGTACAAAGTCGGTGTTCCCTGCTCCGCCTGCCCACCCAGCTATGGGGGCTCATGCAGCAACAACATGTGCTTCCCAGCACTCAAGACAAACTACCTGCACTGGTTCAAATAAACACAGGCTTCCTCTCAACATAAGCTGACAACCTATAGTACCACAGAGACATTGTTTTAATCGAGTAAGGATTTGCACATCAGCCAAACACCACACTATCTTGTATATATGGGCTTATTTAAGGATAGAATCCTACATTTGAAAGCATGAGGCAATTTGATGACTTGTAAATAATTTGTAAATTATTACTTATATTTTTTTGTCAGATTGCCATGGTTATGATTAATAATAAAACACATAAGAACTATATTTATATGACAAAAATGGGTCTTCTAATAATGCAGACTGCATTGTGGTGCTGCCAAACCGTTTGTTTTTACGATTTTAATTTGCCGCCGCAGACATTGTGGTAATTAAGGTGGTTAGAAGCATCTCGACTCCTCGTGTGTGCTCACTTTGGTGCTACGGGCATCACACCTTTCTGCTGTGTGCTCTGCCTTCACAAGAATGTTCAGATCAAACAGGATCGAAAGGATCGGAGCTTTTCACCTCAGAGGGAAACCTCCACTGGCTGCGTCGCCTTTACTTTACGACTTTAAACTTAAAGGGATAGTTGGGATTTTGATTTAAGTTGGACTCTGTGAAGCGGTTAGTCATTTTCTGAATACAGCATCTCAGTAGACTAGTTGGGGACTAAAATAACAAGAAAATGGGAACATTTTCACTTAGTCTCACCAAATTTTGAGTTTGCAACCAGCGAGCCATGCGGCCACAACAAAAATTTTAAAAATACATGTGCCCACAGCTTGAAAAATAGTTTTGCACTATATTTCATTACCCATTTTCATGCACATCATACCTTCCTTGTCCTATTTTGTACCCACCTTAACACTTCATCTATTAGAGTACACTTTAGCGATGAAGATAGTTATTATTATTCATCCTTAGCTTAGCTAGATCTGGAAATTTAGGGCTGTACCTCCAGATTTTTTGAATAAATCGAGATCCTAATAAAAAAGTAATTTTAACATTCAAATCAGGCTCTAAGCTCCTAAAATACATTGAAAACTAATTTCCAGCAGTTGCATCTCTGTGAGAAAGTGGCTTTACTCGTAGTCAACAATAATTCTGAGAGAATCCAAAATATTTCCGTCGACTAACAAAAATTAGCTAAAGGCGTCTCAGATTGTGGCCTATTTCAGAGAGGATTTCAAAAACTTTAAGGTAAAAGAATAATCTGTTGTGAACTTTCATACTGTCTGTTAGATGATTATTTACAGAGATTTTGGTGTTTTTGTAGACCAAAGACAGCCTGAAGCCGTATGCTCTGCGTGAAATTTTGTTGCTGAATGGATCTTGATTAGTTATTGTGCAACAACAACGGAGTTTAAAAGTTGAAATGTAGCGCTCGTTTTAACTGTAGCAAAATGTTTGAGGTTTGAATTGTTTCACGTCGCAAAAGTCCACTCGGTCTTAAACAGCAATTAGCTAGTTGTGTGAAGGTTTATGAAGCATTCACACTGTGCTCCATTTTTCAGCATCTTTTTCGTTCCACATTTTTTGTGCTATTTCAACAAACCATTAATCAAAACGTTCAGCTCTTTCAGGACAATTCAGCTATGACTTTTGGTATTGGTACAACTTTAGCTTTTTGAAATATTTAGCCTTTTCTGCCACTTTTTTTACTCATAGAAAGTGAATTGAGCTCATTCTACATCCTTCACATCTTTAGATGTTTTAACAACCTTTTACTGCTTCTTTCACCTCGTGTCCTGGTTCAGGTTCTTTTAGCTTCCTTGTGCAAATTTAAACTTTTTTTCAGCTTCTTTCAGCTGTTTTGAGCTCCTTTAAGATTATTTTGGCTAACTATAACATTTTTTGTGCTTCTTCTGACTTGTTTTGCTAATTTCAGCTGGGCATGCTCATCTTAGCTTGTTTCTGCAAGTTTCAGCATTTTCTACTATTTCAGCTAGGAGTTTTTATGCTAATTTTAGCCTTTTCAACTAATTCCACACTTTTTTTGCACCCATTTCAACTTTTTTCAGCCTAATTCAGCAAAAATGTTCTCTCTCCACTTCCTTTTGGTAATTTAAGCTTCTTTTTGCCTTTTTAGCTACTTTTCAGCTGTTTTTATTTTATTTTTTTGTTGTTGTTTGTTTTTTGCTAATTTCGTCTTTTTCCTGATAATTTCCACATTTTTGTGTTTATTTCTGTTTTTTTTTTTCAGCAGAACTGGACAAAATTGTGCTCTCTACTTACTTCTGCTAATTCCAGTTTATTTCGGCTACATTTTAGCTTTTTTTTTCCTTTGCTAATTTCAGCTGTTTTCAGATAAATTCAAGTTTTTTATGGTAATTCCTGCTACTTTCATCCAAAATAACTTATTTCTGCTAATTTCAGATTTGTCTGCTATTTCAGCTTCTGCTTAGCTGTTTTGTGCTAAATTTAGCTTTATCAGCCAATTCCACTTTTTTATATGGCTAATTTCAGCTCCTACTACTTCTTTCTGGTAGTTTAAGCTTCTTTCTGACTTACTTTTCAGCTATTTTATTTCTAATTTCAGCCTTTTTTAGCTAATTTTCTAACTTTTTGCTCGTTTTTGCTTATTTATCAGCAAATGTGTTATTTCTGCTTTCTTCTGCTAATTTAAGCTTTTTCTTCAATTTCAGCTACATTTCAGCATGTTTTAGTTAATTTCAGGTACATTTCAGCTAGGGGTGCACCTTAAATTTGGGAACTCGGAAATCGGCCGATACTTGCACGAGAAACTGATTTTACCGTTTTTTGTTTTTTTTTAACCGTTTTAACGACAACTGTTTAAACTTCATTTATATTTCAGAGCACCACCTCATGGCCAGTTACAACCAGTTTGTGTTGTTTCTAGGATATTGTTCAAGGGTATGTTTTTCAATAAAATAAGATTGGAAAATTGAAGGTGCATTGTGACCTTTTAACATCTGACAGTGTTGCTTATATAACAAAATCTGTATCAGCCAAAATTGGAATCGGCAGGTCAGACTTTTTAGAAATCAGTGATGGGACAGAAAACTGCAATCGGTGCACCCCTAATTTCAGCAAGTTCTTCAGCAATAAACATTCACACTTCATCTTTACAGGAAATGCAATTTCTCTAGTTGCCATTATTACGCCTTTATGCGACTTTCTCCCTGACTTTGTCATTTCTCTTGTTTACTGCAGGTAAAATACTGACTACTCCACTGAAAACAAAATCCAAATTGTCCATTTAAAGCAGAACTTGGTAACTTATGGAAAACTTATCTCTTGTTACATGTGCTGAAATGGTTGCGACCCAATCTGTGAGCAAACTTCACTTCCTTGTTTCCTCCAAATGCTTCAAAAGTAATTTGGAAGAATCTCACGACTTAACGACTGCACATTAAAAGACTAAACGGAGTCTTTCAGCAGCTTTAACCATGACACCAGTAAGGTTTCATAGGTTGAGTAACGTTAAAGGTGCTTTTTGAAGAGTTTAGTTGTTTTCAGTCTAATTTTTTTGTGTGGCTGAATTCACAATTCTGTCAACAACTGGGCTCCTTGAATATTTACAAGAGTGTCCTGATAGTACAAATACGTCTTCTGTTTTAGTTGTTCGTTTGATTTACAACACCGTGGTGCATTTTATAAATTTTCATCTGCACTTATTAACTTGTGAGTCTGTCTGATTACTCATCCTTTAGGCATTTCACAGGTTTTACTCATTTGTATATTTTTATGATAGTCAAAATGACTCTGATCCACATATCTGTTCTGTAATAGTACCTGTGAAAGTATGTAAGTATATTGATCTTTGACATATTGGTATGTGTGTTGATATTGTTTCTTTTCTACTTTGACTTTTTTTATTGTTCAATTTGGCACTTAAGTGCACCTTAATTGTGTGTACATTTCTAAAAGGCCAAGAAATTGTTTTGTATGTGTAGATAATCATATGCTGAGCATCTTAAAACACGTTTTCAGTAAATTATTCTTTTTTTTTTTAATAAACATATTTAAATTATATTCTTTTTGTATCGTTTTGTGAACGGATCACAATAAAGATAATAAATGAGGCGAGAATTTTGGCACTGATTGTATTTAAATCAACAATAAGATATTTATGCAATAAAGTGATTTTTCCTTTATTTTGTTTGGTATTGCAAAAAAAATTAGATTATTCATCATATTTGGCTTCATGCTGTGATATTGATCACTGATTGGCTTTAAGGCTCTCATTAACAGCACTGGACCAACTAAAATGAGACAAAGAAAGGAGACTGTGTCACTTGTGGAATACAAAAACAGAAAAAAACCTCTACAGGGTGCAACATTTTTTGTTTTAAATACAAAAAAAATTGCAGGAAGTTAGTAAGACAAGGACATTGCATGTAAAACAATAAACACACTGTTGTATTGAACATATGCTAAAGTTATTGCTCTCATCTTGAGCTGATGTATCATATGGTTTGAACAAGTTTCTCAGTCAACCAACTCGTAAAGATGGAAGACAACAAGCGGTATTGTGGAAAAGTCCCACATCAAGCTTTATTATAATTTTTAAATGGGTCTTGAATAAACTCAAATCGTATGAAAGTCTCTTAAAGGGTTTTTTCGTGAGTTTGGCTGCTTTTTCACTCACTATTAGTTCATCAGAATATTTTCAGAGGATAGTTTTGTTAGTTGGTTAAACCTTGACTCTGCCCTCATTCCGACATCCAAAGATTTAATGTTGAGGCAACTTTACACCAACCCAACAGACGACTTAGTGAAGAACACTTTCAAATGAAATATTTAGTGTGAAGTGTGAATATTACTAGAAAGTTTCTTTGAGAAACTTTTACGAGGACTGCCATTTCAAATTTTTGAGTCGACTGTACTAAATGTTGGGGTTTGCTCTCCGCTACCATCCCACCAAATTTCATCTCAACATGGCAACAACAAAAAAAAAATCAATGCGTAAAAGTCGTTGCTTCTTTTATTTATAGCGGCCATCTTGGATTTTTGATTTGGATTCAGTATGTGATGGGAAACATTCTCAGCTATAACCTCACCAATTTCCAGCT